GGACGCCAGTTTTTAGATACTTGCTAAACAATGAAGTCGAAACGAGTGCCATGAAGTCAAAAATCGGGGTTGCGGGTTGATTTGAATTTTTTTAACGACGATGAGTTATCCCTGGATATCCGGTTATGAATAAAATGACCGTTTTATATCTTTGATATTGTATGTATTTATAGTAATATATAAATATACTTTTAAATAAAATTAACAAAATATCCATGAAGCCAACAAAAATCAACGTTTTTTCAAGATTTTGATGAATTCGGTTTCTCTCGAATAATTGAGTTCAGTGACGGGTACTCGAGTTTTACGAAAACGAAAACAAGATAATACATTTCTAAAACCCTATGAAGACGAAGTCGAGACCAGATACATCCAAAATCAAGGTATATATCCACTCCTAATTTCTATTCATTGAATAATGGATTTTGGTTAGACGTGCCACAAATCTTACACTCCATTGTTTACGAGATTTTTTTAGTTAACCGGGTATCATGAGTCGAGGTCAAGACTAATCTCATGATTGGAAGTAAATTATGTGTTATGTGTTGGAATTATGTTCCCCTCCCCAACTTTAAGTTCGAATTTGAGACGAGATATACGGTTTGTATCCACATGTTTCACCGGTTGATCTATCCAAGTTGAGTTTTACATCGAAAATTCTTCAACATTTGTTTTCTGTGATGCCCTATTGATTCACGTATACATACTATCATTTATTATTTATTGTTACTTATTGTATATTTGACACGTTTAAGATTCAAGCATATTCCAGATTCAGTATTGTCAAATACTAGAGGAAAGCTCCGGCAAGAATACGTGAAAAAATCTTTTTCGTTCAAGATATGAAAAAAGATACATATATCACGCATATTGTTTTTTTCTAACGTTGTAACGATTAAATGAAAATAAAAGTTTCTTCCTTTTGATAGATGCGCTCCATCTCCATGTGATATCGCAGTGCAATAATGTTCGATCACAAAATCGAAATCTTTATGGACCATGGACGAACTCGATGGCTCTTCCACCCAAAAGTTAGATCCAGCATGTGGAGGGAGGGTGCGATACTCTTTAGCACTTGGGGAATTTCTTTTATAAAGTTGCTCTAATAATTACATTCTTGCAATAAAATAGACTAACTAAAATGGAAAAACGAGTAATCATCGGGAAGATGAATAAGGATCCGAAACCTTAGACCATACTTTTATTTATAATTAAGATTGGGAAAAAATTGTAGTCTTGAAATCTATTCCGATTATTGATGATGGTGGAAAAATGATCGCCGATGTAAAAGACACAGAGCAATTTCTTGTAGACGTCTAAACAAGAGGGGCATAAAGACGAATCTAAGATGTCAGAACGAGAGGGATCCAAATATTGTATGGGTATGAAAAAAGTATCGGTAGGCTTGCCACCTATCTTCCACACAACCACATCTTCCTCTTCTGTAAGTGTTTTTTTTATAAGGTTTTGTATTGATTAACTAAAATAATGTACAGAGTTTACATAGTAGGAGCCAAAGTGGCATTTTAGGCATCATCAGCCTGCTCAAACCCAGAATACAATAACCTCAAAAAAATTTTGAAAACCAATACTGAATACATTGCTCTGTAAGATCAGGAGTTACCGACTGCAACGAAGCAACTCTTGTGCGGAACATTACGTCTGTTTCCCGGATTAAGGCTTGAGTATCCTGGAAAGTTCTTATACATATATTTGTGTATGTGTATGTATATATGTGTGTGTATTTTTTTGATAGAATCAAAACGGGCCTAGCCCGTGAGAAGCCCGGTCCGTATAAATTTAAATCTGCAGAATATTAAGAGAATATTCTTATTTGAATTTGAAATTCAAATTCAAATTGGATTCAAATCCGTAGAAAATCTATCAGATATGATTGAGATAAGATTGAGATAAGATTGAAATAATATCTAAATAAAATCAAATTTGAATTTTGAAATTCAAATTGATTTGTTTTGAGATTCTCCCCTCTACTATAAATAGGGGTCTTGGGTTAGCTCATAAAACACACAGAAAAGAAACAAGCATTCTAGAGAAAAAGAGCATTCACATATTTGCTCATATCTCTCTCTGAGTTCGCTTGGTATTTGGAAAGCTTCTTCCAAATACGCGGTCGTTGTATCCTGGGAGTTCACCGTGCTCCAATAGCCTCGAAGCTTTAGAGGTGGCACGGAAATCGAACTTAAGGAAACTGTGTTTCACAGGCCTCGACAAAATAATTTTTTAATTTCAGGTACTTATCTGGAATCGCTCGAATTGCCGGAGTTTTGCCGTCGTCAACAACCGCCGTACCCAACAACTATAGAGACAATGATAATTTTAAAAAATTGATTGAACTATATACATAATAAAAAGATGAATCTACCTTTTCGATTATCTATTTTGAGAGAATTTTAAAATTAAACATGTTTATTTTGGAGTAATTTTTAGGATGAGGCTTTTCGAAAATATATACGAGTAAGAACGAAGCACGTTGGTCGGTCACATGACCTACCATAAATGAACTCCAACTAGTGAAGATTTTTCACAGAAGATCATAATAGTGTTCATATAGTGAGAAGATAATTAATTTGGACCGACATATGCCACTGTGGGTGTGGTGTATCCAAGTAGGTATCGTGTCGAACGCGGATGTAACAAATTACATCACGTTTTCTTTTGGATTTGCTTAGGACAAAATTAAATTAGGGTTTTAAAAACATTCTCTAAGGCATTATAGTGTTTGTTGGTTGATACTGTTCCACAAGAGATCATATCATAGCTTGCTATTACTTGTACACTCAACAATCAAATAAGCTCATGTCCTTTTCCTCATCTATTAGGGCACGTGGTTTAATTCAAAATTCAAAAGTCTTTATCATTATCCACTTGAATGAAGTGTTGAGAGAGGCAAACTGTGAAAGGAACGGAAGAAAATGCTCAAGGAAAGATGGATATATATCATCGCAATATATGATCTATCACCTATATTAATTTTATATATCTATGTTTTTGTATATTCATAGTGAAAAATGCTCTAATACCGAACGGTAGTGTTGTGGAATGGTATAATGGTGGAATCATATCATGAGTGTTCAAATAGAACGAAATAGAAATTTCCGAAATTGTAATATCTAGTTTATAGTGATGAAACAAAAGAAGAAGAATTTTGTTTTTTGTTTTCTTTATATTCTGAATAGAAAAATTTGATATCCCGTTATATAAAACGTACAAAATCTTTAGAATATTATTACATGTTAATCTATGAAAAAAAAAAGAAATTCTCTAATGCATGTTTGCAATAGCGTGAAATAATACAATAATGAAATAACGTAATTAAGTTGAGGAATAGAATAAAATATTAGGTAAAACCCATAAAAATTTCTGAACTTGTAAAATGATGAAAACTTAATTTCTAAATTTTTTATTTGACAAATTTATTTTCAAACTTGTAAAATATGTCATTATAATCTACAAATTTGCAAAATATTTTATTATAATTCTCAAACTTAATTATGGCTCAACATCGTCGAGATTTTTTCTGACACCAATTAATAAGTTTGAGAATTATAATGATAAATAAGATTGAAAATTATAATGACATATTTTGCAAATTTGAGAATAAATTTATTACTTAGTAATTTTTTTTTTATCATTTTAGAAGTTTTGGAATTTTATGTGTTTTGTCCAATAATAAAATAAAAAATCTTCGATTTTCTAAACACTAAGATTTTATTTTCTTTACGAATTAATATTTCTTCGTAGAAACATGACAAACGCATCATTCCACCATTTGAATTTAAGGATTTACAAATTGAAGCTTCGTGTTCCATATTGTTAAAAAAAGCAATGCAAAAAAAAAAAGTGAAGAACAAAACTATATATATATATATATAAAAGGTTGGATTACGGTTTCCGTACGAGAGGGAGCACACGAGCGAAAGTTGTGACTATGTGGCCATTATATGACGTTTCAATTATCATAAATTATAGACTAAGCTTTGAATACATTGCTCGGATATATGGACGATTCACATGGTTAGTTTATTATATCTAAAATAATAATAAAACGAATATATATATATATATATATATATATACACATTGTGGAAAGGCAATTTGGAAACTAAAATATGAGAAAACTATCTAAAATAATATGGCCCGACATGCTTTTCACCGATTGTTTAGATAACGCAGTTCACTAAAAAGAGCAAAAGGCTGCCATAAGATTCCACACAAAATGATATATATAATAATAATAATAATAATAATAATAATAATAATAATAATGCGCAATATGATATGAATGCATAATTCTGTATATTACAAAGTGTGGGAATAGTAAAATTAAGTTGACCATAGGCTAACAAAGCCTAAAAAGGCATATTCAGCCGTGTGGAATGGCTTGCATCGAGATTTTCGTATTGCCTTGATGCTTATCTTATACACACAAAGATATGAACTCTATGTCCCTATATACAATATAACTACACCTACACGTGTGTATATATATATATATATTGATAGATCCTAGGGATATACAGAAACATTTTCCCAAAACATATCAAGTTTGAGCATTAAAAAAAATCTTCCTACGGACAACCCGTTTAAAATTTTTCTGATGGATTTCAACGGCCTTACAATGATAAGATTCATTGAAATCCATTTGAAAATATTTTCAATGGAATTTCAAAGGATCGTAAAATTTTTTTACGGAATTTTCAACGGATTTTTCAACGAATTTCGGTTCAAAATTTTTCAACGGAATTTCAAATAGATTTCGTTTGAAAATATCATTCCAAAAACTATAGACATATATATACATATGTATAAGTTTTCTTTTGTTCAAAGGAATGTTTTTCTTGAGTAATAGAAAGTATTCTTTGGGTAAATTTAGGTGTAGTGTTAAAACATGGATTGGTCCATGGACGGGCGTATTCATCATTAACAGAGATGACATATATAGTAAGATTCAATTGAACTTTAATTAGGAATGATGGGTGTTGCAGAAGAACATGAACCAGATGAACAAAAGTTTACGTTTAGGTTCAGGGAAAATGACAAAAAGAGTGATGTATCATCGTCTCATCACAACACAGCAAACAGCCTCCAAGGCCTTTTTTTGCGTTATCAGAGAGAGAGAGAGAGAGAGAGAGAGAGAGAGAGAGAGAGAGACTGAGGAGCTTATGCGTTCTTGGCGTCATTGGCATAGAGAGTCTTGATCTCTTCGACATCCTCGTAGCTTCCCAGGAATATCGGCGAACGCTCGTGGATCTTCCTCGGGACGAGATCTAGCGCCTGCGAAAATCCGGTCCCAGTCTCGTCAATCGATAGTAATTAGCATACCCGAATCGAAACTTTCGAGATCGGCCCCGGATAAAACTGATGATTCGGGTCATAACAAATGAACGATGTTCCCAAGTCATGTACATCCCGGCTACTAGAGCATCGATCCAAACTATCAAACAATTTCATCCATACCCGACCAAAACCTGTCATTGCTTAACTTAAAAACTGGCCTCTGCCCCGACGGGGACATTAACAGTCACCACCTCTTTCTTAGTCGGAAAATCAAACCGTTGTAAAAGGGTAAAAAGGGTAATTTACCCGTTCCTTGCCGGTGAAGGCCTGACCTCCAGCTTGCTCCATCAAGAATGACATCGGGAAGACTTCGTAGAGGACTCTGTTCACATTTTGAGCCGAAACGAGAAAAGGGTATTCCCGAGTGGTAATAAATGGCGTTTTCAATCGATATAAATCTAAACAGAGCTTCCGACCAGGTTTCCTCGTAGGTAGGCTTACCGCAATTTCCCGTTGGGGCTTTTCTTGTCAGCGGGGTACAAAAAGATACCTCCATAGAGCAGCGTTCGATGGACATCAGCCACCATACTGCCCAGACAACGAAAGACTTATCTCAGAACACGTTAACATAGTATCCCGAAACCAATACATCAATGGACAAATGAGGAGAAATTTCACGAACTACGAACGGATAAGACAATTAACGTTATGGTTCCATCACCTCCCGACATATCTCAGAGACTTTGGGGGCGAACCATCTTCGGGAAACTTGCATTTCTCTACGTACCTAGACCAATGGAAAAACAGAACATAGATATCATACAATGTTCAGGATCTACTTTATGCTACAAAGATAGTTTGCTTTCCACATACCTTGTAGTCGGACCATCCCAGTTCTTGGCATTGCCCTCGTTTACGGAATAGATCTTTCCCTTTTTCGGAATCTGTGTGTAAGAACAAAGAAATCTTGAGAACACCATCAGTGAGGAGGAAAAAGCTTAATCTTGATGGGATCCAATTACTACCTTAATGTCGGGATGAGTTAGTATGAACTCTCCAAGAGATGGGTCAAGGGTAAATCCATTGACGCCGGTTCCAGCGCTCAAAACGAGCTGAGAATCAAATAAAACCGGTTGATTTTCAATGGCGAATCAATAAACTTTTAGCCATCAGATTGGTATCCATGTTTTGTTATTGCCTCGTATATTTGTTATCAGTACCATGCATGAGCTTCCGTACATACAATACCCAGCTGCCACCATCTCGCTTCCCGGTTGTAGGACATCATCGATGGTCGGTTCATCGTTGTGCTTCAACGTGTAAATCCCGAAAATCTAGGACGAAACAAGAAGCAAAGCTACATATGTCACGAAGCTATCGATAAAAGTGGCAGTCGAGCTCTATATACAAAAGGGTTTAGGATGAGAGAAACATACCGTCCCAATGGAAACACCACAGTCGATGTTTGAGGACCCATCGAGCGGATCGAAGACAACACAATACCTACAAGTTTCAAGTTCAATGTTCAAACCAGAAGATCATACGGCAATAACAGAAACCGACATAAGCAGACATTTATATCACTGAGACACCAAGAGAAGATAGAATTACTTTCCACGCTTGGAAGGTTCCACAAACGTTGCGTCCTCGTCTTCTTCAGAGACAAGGATGGACTGCCACAAAGATTCAAATCCCAAAACAATTCAAAGGAACATCCTAGACATGCCCGAATCATCTGGAATTTACAATTTATTTACCGTTCTGCCACTGCTAACAAAGGCTTTGACAAAGACGTCATTGGAGAGCACATCTAGCTTCTTCTGCTCTTCACCCTGCAGTAAGAGAAGGTAAATTTCACCAATTCACTGTAAACACAGATACAGAAAGAGACACTAAGGCAGGCATTTAACAAGCATCAGTCAGCTTCAGAAGAAGGACGAAAAAGACGTAAAAGAAAGCGAGTTTGGGTGAGTCATGAACTCGCCTGAATGTTGGTTTCCCCTGCAAGTCCAATGAGCTTCGCTAGACCTGCCTGTAAAACACAACATATCAGCCAAAAACCAACTTCAGAACCTCTTACAAGGATCAACGACCAAACAAGTTGAACCAGTTGCTCGTAAAGATACTAATTGGACACGTTTAGACAGAAGCCAACGTCAGAATGCTGAATCTCAACCCCAGTTAATTCACAGACATGGACTTATGGTTCCAATGGAGGCAATTTTTGCAACCGGGTCAGATTTCACTACCAAAACACAAAAGGTTGCCAACAAAAAGTTCCTTTTGAGTCACTGGGCCACCATCATGAATTCCACAATTGTGATTTAAACAAAAGATTCGACGAAAGAAAACGACATTTTTACATTCACGCATTGGATCATTTCCAGAAACCCATTTCATATTCCACAGGCGAAGAGATTTTTTCACCTTATTCACTGCACTGCAAACGAATTTGCAGCCCAAAACGATGTGACTGAGCAAGATAGTGAAATCCCCACGAGATTCCGGATACTTTGACTGCTCGTTCAACACGAACCTCGTTATGGTCATCAAATCCGTACGGTGAGCATCCGCCGCATGATCCATCTCTCGCTCTCCCTCTCGCACACGAAACCAACAAAGTCCTTCAATCTCTAGAGGGAGAAGCCAAATGGGTTGATGTAAATTTACAATCTTTTCCCTTCCTTTTTTGTGTGTCGCCCATTTCGAGGAAGATGATGAGATAAAGACGCGCTTGAGAGCCAGAGCCAAAGAGGCAAGTTTATCTGAAGGTGAGGCTGGGAAATCGGCGACACGTGGCATGCTATTAGCTGATAGTGACAGGATTGGCCGTCACCGCGGATGACGTTAACGAACCTCCCGGTTTTCGTCTTCGTCATCATCCCCATCCCCTGTCCCTGAGGATAAGTATTACCAATATACGATTCATATTTCCATTCATGAAATTGGCGCATTTTAAGGATTTTGTTTATTAGGAAAAATGCCCTTAGTAATCATCTTATTTACTGTCCAGACACTGAAATTGTGGATTCCCGAAATACCCTCAGGCTGTAACCGAATTTTCACCCGCTTCCGTCCCTACCAATCACTATTCTACAATGTCGTTTTTTGGGGGTTTAATTTGTTTTTGAGGATTTCAGCCTTACTGTTACTGGTAATTTGAAATTTCGGATTCATTTCCTGTTCGACTTTCTTTGCCCCTTTTTTCATGTCTGAATTCGAGAATCCCAATTCGTTTCCTTGTTTGGTCTTCCGATTCTAATCGAAAATCGAAGTATTTACTGTTAGGGTTTATGAATTGAGTCTACTGATTTGGAAGAGGATTCGACACGGAAGCTCCACTTTCTTGGTTTCTTTTCGGGTTCTTTGGATCCGTGTGGTTGTGGAGGAGCTTCCATGGCGGATCAGCAAGAGGAAGAGGACCTGAAAGTGGCCCTGAAGATGAGTATGCATCACACTCCACCCAAGCCGAAGCGGAGTAAGCCCAGAGAAGGACCCATATCCGGATCGACGGCGGGAGAGTCGTCGAACGAGTCCCCGGAGGCGAAAGGCCGGCGATTGCAGCGGCGGAGAAACGGATGCTGGCATTGGCGAAGAGCTTTCCGGCTTCGTCTCCAATGGCTACTAATAAAAGTGGGGAGGTTGTGAAGGACAATGAGTTAGGATCAGTGCGCAGAGATTTGGGGAGAGAGTTGTCGTTTCCTGATGGTGTTTGGGAGTGATGTCTCCAGAGGTATACTTAGTGGACAAATCAGGGTGTAAGGTATGGTTTTAGTGCTTCCAATTCGATTCCTGTTAATCTTGGTAAAGAATTCTGGATTTGGATTCAATTTCCGTGCTTGTTCGATGCCTTTGTTTGTCTAATATCGGCCACTTTCTGTATTCATATCGAAGCACTGATCTTGGAAGTTTGATTTTCGCGGACTTGGTCATGAAATTCTTTCTCTAGGAGATTCCATTAGGGTTTTCTTTTAGTTGGGAAGAATTCTATATAGTTCAAGATTACAAGGGTGTTTGGTTCTGCTATCTGACCAAACCCAAATTTGATTCAAGGAGATCAATGATATACAGTACTAGACGGTCGGTCACAGTATAGTCGCTTGCTCCTCACGTCTTGAAAGACAGGGGATTAGCTATCGGCTCGTGACAATACCGAACTCGGATTAATTGTCACGAACAATCTCCATTAGGTTCTAATGGCTATAACTGTGGAAGAGCTTCTTACTCTTGGAAATCTGTCAGGCCTTGAGTATCCTGCTCTCCGATTCTTCTGTCTTCTCTTCTCTTTGGTATATTTCATGTGATAGTAAAGTTGATAATGCTGGATATATTAACATCTTAGCATATGGGTTCATATGAAACAATTCTGTGCTCTGAACTTTACAACAGCGTACACAAAGTTTTGGATATGCTCGGTAAATATTCATTAAACCGATGCTGGTAACATCTCCTTTTCCATTCGGTTTTGCATGGGTTTGGCCAACTTTCAGTGATAACAAAGTATTCGGTTATGCATGGTTTCGACCAATGTTGTGACGAAACTCCTATAGGTTTAGCCCTGAAGGTGGACCCTGTGGTGTTTTAGCAAACATTACAAGTAATTCTCCTCATCTTCCTTATTCTGATAAACGATGGATCATATATATCTGCTATTGTTGACCCAAACACTGAGGGTTCTATTAACAATGAGAAAGGTGAGGTTAGTCGAGAACTTGAGAAGTTGTCACTGTATTTGGCGAAGATATCGGCTTTGCTTCAAAATTTGTTATGTCTCCGTAGTCGATTCTTCCTCTTTGAAGTGTTGATCTTGTGTTCCAGGAAGTTGCCAAAGCTCTTGAAGGGCTTTCCATTGAGTCTGCTTCAGATTTGCAGAAGATCCTAAGAGTCGAGATATTCATGGCTCGGGCCAATTCCAATGTTCCAAAGTCATATGGACGTTCTGCTCTTCCTTATTTCTGCCTTACTTTCTCGTGGACTGGTATTAACGCTACCTTGATTCTTCTCTAATTTAGCATTTGTTTTTATAGTGTTTGCCCTCGATACGTCTGTCCAGGAAGAGAACGAGATCAGACAGAGGGGGTACCATATAAGAAGAGCCTTCGAAGCTCGAGACCAGAGTGGGGGAGGAGGATTCATAACTGTCTAAGCCTTCCACCAACTTCTTCGGGAAACAAACATCAGACTCCCTCCCGAGAAGTTCGATAGCCTCTCTGCCCCGGGGGTTCATCGTGTGGATGAGTTTTGGCAGGAGTTGGATCAAGAACTGGGAGGGCGAAAGGATTCAACAGGGATGATGGGGAAGAAGGTTTTCAGTCTGTGTCAATTCAACGGGATCGAGAAATCAGACATAAACGGGGGTCAAGCAATGATCGTTGAAGGGGAGGCTCCAACACAAAGGCCTCGGCTCACGAAACTAAGGGTCTCGGTTCATTCAAAGCGGGTGCCGGATGAATACATGGCAATGCCGGACAGCTCTAACGTGGTTAAGAATGTCTCGAAAGTGAACCAAACGGAACGGTCTCAGCACGCGCCACTTGTGGACTGCATCAGAATGCGGTGACTTCGTGCAACGTGCCGCTGGGTCGGAGATCCTCCGAGCATAGTTTGAAGCAGTTCCGTCCTGACTCTTTCTCTGTTTTTGCTTTTAGTGATTAGAGTTTGCGTTTCGAAACGCTAGAGAGAGAACAGTGTTGGTTCAGGGCGATCGGAAG